AAGGAATGAAGGAATGAAGGAATGAAGGAATGAAGGAATGAAGGAATGAAGGAATGAAGGAATGAGGGAACGAGGGAATGAAGGGATGAAGGAATGAAGGAATGAAGGAATGAAGGAGTGAAGGGATGAAGGAATGAGGGAATGAGGGAATGAAGGAATAAAGGAATGAAGAAATGAAGGAATGAAGGAATAAAGGAATGAAGGAATGAAGGTATGAAGGAATGTAGGAATGAAGGAATGAATGAATGAAGGATTGAAGGAATGAAGGATTGAAGGAATGAAGGAATGAGGTAATGAGGGAATGAAGGAATGAAGAAATAAAGGAATGAAGAAATGAAGGAACGAAGGAATGAAGGAATGAAGGAATGAAGAAATGAAGGAGTGAAGGAGTGAAGGAATGAAGGAATGAAGGAATGAAGGAGTGAAGGAGTGAAAGAGTGAAGAAATGAAGGAATGAAGGAATGCAGGAATGCAGGAATGGAGGAATGGAGGAACGATGGAATGAAGGAACTCGTACGAGGTTAGGTATATAATTAATTTGAAGGAAAAGTCTCGCTTAGCATTTGACGAAAAAAGTTTTAATCAAACCAAGTAAAGCGTACCCCTCGAGAGCACATAAATAATTGAATTGCAATAATTTATTTATTTATTTATTTGAATATTGAACCCGGTAGAATTCGGTTAAACCATTTAATATTCATCAATCTATTAATGCAATCTTTAGGGATACGCTTAACTTGGTTTGACCGTAAACTCTAAGAACATTGTTATTCCCGTGTTCATTTTTATATACATATATTTTTTTCTTATTTTCTGATTAGGTAAACCTTTGAAATGCTTCGGTCAAGGTTAATAAACACCCGTAACTTTCTGACGGGATGAAGCGTGAGTATAACTGATTGCTTTTCCTCTTCCACTGACGTCCNATTTGAAGGAAAAGTCTCGCTTAGCATTTGACGAAAAAAGTTTTAATCAAACCAAGTAAAGCGTACCCCTCGAGAGCACATAAATAATTGAATTGCAATAATTTATTTATTTATTTATTTATTTGAATATTGAACCCGGTAGAATACGGTTAAACCATTTAATATTCAAATAATCAATCTATTAATGCAATCTTTAGGGATACCCTTAACTTGGTTTGACTGTAAACTCTAAGAACATTGTTATTCCCGTGTTCATTTTATATACATATATATTTTTCTTATTTTCTGATTAGGTAAACCTTTGAAATGCTTCGGTCAAGGTTAATGAACACCCGTAACTTTCTGACGGGATGAAGCGTGAGTATAACTGATTGCTTTTCCTCTTCCACTGACGTCCATATGTATATCTCTAAGACAGGATAATAATCATTTGTTATTATATGACTGTGTCTCACAAGGACTGGGAACTACCGAATTCACGAATTTGATTGGCTGAGATCGATATTGACCGCGGTCTAGATTTTCCCATCTCGACCGGCATCTCGACCGATTACATTTCGCCGTGAAAAATTTCCAAACTAAATACAAAAATATTGACTATTTTCTTCTAAAATATTAGTTCCAGAAATTATCCATATTAGGAAAGTGCGAGGCCTGATGAGGAAAAAAAGTAAAGAGGACGAGTTTGGCAGAATTAAGTTCAGCTCATGGCCGTTCGCAAG